TCTTCTGGCTGATGAGTGACTATTAATTTTATTACAAATCAATAAGATATTAATTCCAATATTCTCATACATACTCAGTCTAAATTATCAAAGGAAGTCAGTGAATATTGGAATGGTTTTAATAAGTTTAAATCAATTTGGACCACATCAGCACAGAAAAATGCTATTTATCTATACAGCTTTTAAAAAAGGGACATTTATGTTTTCTAATAATGTAAGATTGGTTTAACACGATAAACATAATACATAGTTCTTTTCCATCTTATACCGTTCAGTTTCAAAACTACTTTTCTTGTTCAGGGTCTTGGGGGGAGGGGGGGGGGTTCAAGGCTCAGCAAGCAGGCGAATGCCGTGGAAGAGTCCCAATTATATCACATACTGAGAGACCAACAAATACACACCTACAGGCTAATAGAGCTTCAAAAGCACCTAATTTACATGTGTTTGGATTTTAGATGAAAATCAGAATCCCACGAAGATATGAAAGAAAGACATCTCCAACCGTATAAAAAAATATACAGTACAAACACACAAGGCCTAGGTTGGTTAGAGTCTCTAAACTGACTGTAGGTGTGAGTGAATAGTTTGAATGTTTGTCTCTGTATGTTGTCCCTGTGATACACTGGCAACCTGTCTAAGGTGTACATACATCAAATATATGGGGCTTAAATTATGAGTTCGGTCTTCAGTAGACAAACACACATAGAGAAAAAGATCTTTGGACAAAAGGGCCTAATTCACATTGCAGACATCTCTTTATTCTTCTCTTCAAAATGTGACACCCAGAAATAAAATTCATCCTAAGAAAATGAAATGGAGAGATGATGTACAAACGAAAATAGAGTATTCCCTGAAAAAAATTATCTTATGTAAACCTTTTGATATGTAAGATTACAAACAAAGCTACATAGTTTTGTTCAGTGTATAATAAAGAGGTTAACGAAGAGGTTAATTGAGGAAATGTATTCGGTATTAGTTTCTCTGTGATTAAGGTCTGCTCTAAGCTATGACAGTCTTGCTACTCACTTTCCACGGTGTGAGATTGAACACTGACATCAGAACTTTTCTCCAGCTGTGATACTGCTTTATCCTCTGTTAACACTGCTGGCTGCACAGATGCTCGTCTTTGTTTTACTGCATCACTTGTAGTTGTACCAGCTCTTGTGAGAGATAAGGTGCTCCGTCTCCCCCTTTTAGCCATGAGTTTTGCACTGGCACTTGAACTGTCCAGTGCAGGCAGAGATTCTTTAGCCTCCTGCTGGAGTCGACTGCTTGCATCAGACCACTGATGGAGATTTTTGCCACTCTGAGTTTCTTCTACTTTCCTCTTCTTTTTACTGATGGTCTCAGACTCGATACTTTCACTTTTTCTTTGTTTTCTCTTCTTTGAGACAGAGTTCAACTCAAAGGGAATCTGAATGCCCGTCTCCACAGGCAGATTCGTCAAGAGAGTTTTTTTAGATCTCTGCTGGTGGTTCGCTGGGGAAAAATAGTCCTCAAACACATTATCATCTCCATCAGTCGAAACTGACGCTACACTGTGAGGTGCAGCAGAGACCGTGGCAGATCGGACCAAGGCAGAAAGTGATGGTCTGGCTCGTTTGGGTGTTTTCTGTGAGAGAGAAGCAGCTTCTTTTGACAGTTCAACTCCAGCAGCACCTGACGTGGCTGGTGACAAGACACAACTAGAATAATTCACATTATTAGGACAAATACTGGACTTAGTCTCTGTAAAAGATTTATCAGCTTTACTTTTTTGCTTTCCCTTCTCAGGTTTTGGGCTAGTGGATTTTATCTGTGATCGCCTTTTCTTGCTGATGTCAGATCTTGTATCCTGGCACGGAATTTCCGATAAACGTACAGATGTTTTTTTCTCTCTCTCTTTTCTGACTGAGATCCTTGTCTTTTTTTGTCTCGTCCCCTCTTTATCCTTTGCATCCTCCAAATCAGGACATCTCAAAGGGCTTGATACTATTTTTGGCACTTCACAGCAGGGCGACAGCCAGAGCTTTTCAGAATCTTTCCTGTGGCGTTTTTCAACACATCCATGATCCGTAACGTCAACTTTTGTTCTCCCTTCCTCTTTATCAGGTGAGCAGCCAGGTTCAGCAGCAGAGGCACTGGAATCATCGTCCGACTGGTCAACTGTATTATTAAAGGAAAAATAGGAATAATTAAAGGTTTTCAGCCACTCAATATAATTGTTCTTCCTTCCCTGTGTGTGCATTTGGACTTGCAATGGCTCTCCCCGACCTTTAGAACATAAAACCACAAGCAGCTGCTTGCGCTTCACAAGCTCACACATTTAATTGTATGCTAGACACCCACTGTGAAATATTGGAAAGCCAAAGTAAACAAGTGGATGACGGTAAGACCTGTTCATGCAACCAGTTAATGGGAGCGAGATATTTTTCGTAGGAGCTGTCAGTGAAAACAAGGGCAAAATATGAATGCCGCACATATATGAAGCTGACAACAAAGAAATGCTAATGTTGACATTTCTGCTAGTTACTGTTAGTGTCTCTCGAGGCAGAGTCTTATATATGTATGTAATCTATATCCCATTTTTCTATTTGTTAACTTTAGTCTCCAGAATCACTACTGGTTAAATAAATTGTGTATCTCTTATTTCATGAGCTTGAGAGAATAAAATACTGTATGTAGGAATATATGAAGCACCTGCCAAGTCCAAGTAGAAATGCTATCTCCTTGGATTTCAACATTTTTCGGAAGGATGCTACCACTTCCCTCTTCAGAAACCGATCTTGGTAATTGGAAAAAAAACTGCAACTATCCACTTAGCTGTAAAAAGGAGATCACAATTTTCTTACACATTAATTTGAGGACAGTTGGTGCGCTGCCAAGAGAAGGCTTCAGTCTGGTGGGTGAGCAGGATTCAACCATTTGTGAAGCTGAAAGACAGAGACACTTGTGTGAAGTGGATGGCATTTTCAAAAGAGTTTAAATAAAGGCCTAAACAATTCATTAGCCTTAACACCTACTGCTGTGCATACCTGTGGGTGAGAGGTTTTTCCGTTTCTCTTTCATGTCTTTCAAGCGCTGTGCCATATAATTTGATCTTTGCAATGCAGGGCTGTAGACTATTCCACTCTCTTCATCGATGATGATGGGCGACACATCTGTCACTGTGGAAATAAATTAGGAGAAACTACATAATTTAGTCTTAAGTAAACATTTTCCAAAGATGTAATGATCTCTTACCCAGAGGTTGTTTAGGAGCGAGGTCTTTCATCATCTTGTCTAATTTTTTCTTCATGCGTTTGTCATTTTCAGGCGTCCTCTCTGGAGAATCTTTAGGCTGCATGCAGCGATGCTGGGTTAATCAAACACAAAACAAACAAAAAAAAGTTTGAATACTTTCAATGCCATTAGGTTGAATAGAGCAAGTTCTCTTTTCTTTTCTTTTTTTTAGAAAAACTGACCAATGAAGTGCTGTCTCATTCAATGCAATATAACACTGGGACAAAACAAAAATATCATAGCAAGGGAAGTGAAAGAAACTTTATCAACATTTATTCAAGTAGGAAAGTTTCAGTCAACAAGTATGAGTGTGGGTGAGCTAAGGTTCAGGTTGAAATAAAAAGCTCATAAACTCAAATTTAATACTGTGTAAAAGCCCTATTAGTCCTGCTATATTGATTTAAAACAAGTCAACATTTCCAATAGAACCACTTGACACTCATTTACATATTCTGATTAGGTAAAGAAATTACATCCATCAGTGTCCCTAAGTTAGTACAATGTTTGGCTTAACAGTGTTACAAGACTGATATACACAGACTGCTTCGACTGTTAAACGAACATAAACATCACATTCGTTCATCTGACTCTACTCACTTTCTTGTTCTTCAACACAGGATTGCTTTCGTCATTTAAGGCTGGATACAACCCCTCATCCACATGCACACAGTCGTCGTAGCATCTGGACATTATTTCATCAAATATGAGTCACATTAAGGGAATCAAGTTACGATTCAATTCAAGAACAATATTTTGATTTAACCTTATAACAGCGCTATCAAAACAATATATAGCAGTATAGTCCTTACCTGCCAACCCAGAGAACAGAGACGAGCCTTACATCACTTTTCTTAGCTTTTCTCCAAGTGGCCGAATGACCATTGTTGAAGACCACATGTGTGACTTGTTTATTGAATGTTTTTGATACCTGTAAAAAAGAGTAAATCTCCTGATTGTAAATATTACAGTAACATTTGGACAATATAATGCATATGTCTTCATGTGCCCTCTGGTCTCACCTGAGCTCCCATTTCCTGCAGCTGCTGAACGAATGGTTTTGAATAATTTGCTGTTTTGTCTGACGACCACACATCAACATAGGCAATGACATCTGCAGACACATTGAACAGAGACATAACCTTGAACACTGAACCCTGAAGTTTCACCTGGATATACTGCAGTTACACCAAGATAATGTACAATACCTTTAAGAACTGAGGAGTTGTGGCTTGTGGTCATTACTGGCCTCTAGTTCCACCTACACAAAACCAACAAAGACAGTTTTTGAGATGGAAAAAACAGCTTTCACGATGCACAGGAATTTTACTCGCATTCCTTGGTCCCGCTACTACTACTGCTTCCTTGACTGAGTTTGTCTTTGATAATGGCCATCAGTAACAGAATATTTAATTTCATAACAAAATGAGCAGTCATGTGTTATTTTGTTTAACCTCATCAAAACAAAAAAGAGAGAAACACTGGAAAGAAGAAATTAAAGTAGATTACAATGTTATCCATCCCTAGACATATATTACGAATCATACTTTTGGGCTCCACAGCATCAGATAATGAAATTCTGCATGCTGAGTTGGTCATGTGAAAAAACCTATGGAACTGAATTTGCCCATATAGATATCTTACCAGTATGCAATCCTCAAAATATTGTGATAGAGTAATTATATTGTATATGAATAACATTATTACTTAGTGCAAAAAATGCATATAATATTGTTTTCACTTAGGTCAGCTTATAATGTTTTCAAGGCCTCCAGAAAGCTTGATCTTAATGAAAGTCGGTGCTGACTTGGTCATATGACAAACCTATTTAAATGAAATTTTGGGTCTCAAATCCAAGGGCAAACAAAGTTTTAACTTTCTGGGGGCGAGGGACTCTGTGTCTTTGACATCAGATTTAGATTAAGATAACAGTGCAGCCCAAAAGTGTGATGATCTGATACCTAATCATTCGGATCAAGTTGAGGCTAAGTGATCGCAAACTGGCAGTTAAATGAGGACACAAAAAAATCATGACAAAAAAAATGAAGACAGACAATGTGAACTCAGTTTGATGGCTGAGGTGAAGACAGAGATGCAGAACATTTACTTAATCAAATTAAATTATGCATTTCCAAATCTGGAATAGCTGAATGACATTTAGAATGAAAAGAAGGAGACAGCCTTCTCTTCATGTGCTGCGGCACACTGTTGATGAACAGGATTTGCATAATATAATTCAATTCTACGTTGGGTTGCAGACCTTTCATTATAATTTTAAAAGTTTATAATTGTAGAATACGTGACACGTTTATAAAATATAGAACATTTTAGCTTTGGTGTGACGTTAAAAATAAAGTGGAGAGTACATGTGCAGAATGTATCAACTCCATGAAGGCTATAAATACATTATGTTAACGAGGTGACAACACAGCGGCGGATCTTTTCCTGAACTCACTGTGACCACCACGCCTTAGAAACACACACATATATGTTTAAAGTACACACATATAATGGAGGCGTCTATTACAGTCCGCTCTGTAGCTGTCAACCGCTAAGTCGATGCTAGTTCTCCGTTTGTTTACGCGACGTTTCGCTGCTAACGTCAGGAGCTACTTTGTTAGCATCCTGCAGCTGTGGCTAACTTGAGTTAATACTTCCGTAATGTGCTGATATATGTATAACGCGTGTTTTACAGAGTAACAGTACACCGACGGGATTACTAGTACCAGCCAGTATTACGCAGTAGTTGACGGTAACTTACTTTAAGCAGCAGAGAGGGTTAAATTGTGTAGTTTGCAAAAAGACCTGGCAACGCGGTACATAGTTCGCGCGTGCAGTTTGTGATGCAATGCATTCTGGGGTAAAGGGCAACGATTGGCTGAGAGGAAAGACGTCACCTCCAAACCCAGAAGTGACGAGGTAGTGTCCCTGAGAAGGGCCCTAAGAAGTCTACTTCAAATCCCACCTGTCCTTTCACTGAAACTTTTACAGTTTCTGTTGACAGACAAACAAATATACTATGTTCAACAACTGATCCACACACGGTGCAATAACTATACATACACACACACACACTCCATACTTTCAAAGTTTTTACTTCATTGGCAACGAATGTCCCACTGCATCCTTGAATGTTTATAGTTTTAGTTTTTTATTTCACTTTGTAGTAAACTCTTTATACCTTACTTTTATTTTAATTGAACTATTGCACTGCTGAGCTGACCAGTTTCTTCTTGTCCAACACCCTTCATTATACTGTTGACCCTGTGCTTGCTGCATATGACAAATAAAAACTTGAAATATTATGGAATGCATTCTAGTCTGTTTTTCAGAATTAATGGAAATATTATCTTACAATTCTGAGAAAGGTTTTCATGGGGAAAATGTCACCTGTTTTTTCTGAGTAATTAATATTGCCAACCTCAAAATCCCAAGAGTCGCTTTCATTTGGCCACTTTGAGAGGATGAAGCAAACATGTCCTGCCTGTGTAGTTTCTAATATAAATGACAATGTTATTACTTGTGAGCTTCACACAGAAACCTCAGGACTTTGGAAATTGTCCAAACGGAGAGTGCAAGGTTTTTTGAGCTATCTCGTTAATTCAAAAAAACTGAGCAGGATGTTTTTTCCTGGATTCTCATAACTGCAGGAAACTCATAAAGTTCCTGCAGTTTGCACATCGTGACTTCATTACATCAAACAAAGAAGATGGATGGTGTGAAGGTAATTTTTTGTGTGTTCTGTGAACTTTAAATCTGTCACACATATTTTTTTAAACCCCATTAATAAACCAGAATTAACCCTGATAACAATATTAAATATGCATGTGTCTGTGTAGTTTGGGAGATGAACTTCCAAACAATAGAATCTTGAAAACATGAATTAGTCCAATTCCAATTAGCCTTACAGTGTTATTTCACCATTCAGCCAGGAAAACATTTTCTATCTTATCATATTATTCAGTACAGAGACGAAAAACTTGCTTTGCAAATGGCATTTAAGGTAGTAATTTTTAAAAATCGTTTTTAAATTAAGCCTCTTTTAATCCCAACACTGTGATTATTAAAACAGGCACAAACTAATTGACTACACAGTCTCCCACATACATGCACAACTATGAGAGCATTGGTGAGAGGGACAGTGGAATGTGATCTGCATGGCTGCACATGTGAGGTGTCATGGAAGACATCTGAGAACTAAGACCTCAGAAATATTTACCACAGTGCTCATGATAGTGCATCAAATGGCAGACACATTTTAATATAGGTTAAAAGCCTCACATAAACACATTTTACATTTTTATTCATTAAACCCCTCTTTAGTATATTGAACAATCTTTATTACACTTCTCTATAAGTCATTCAATAAATATTCAATCAATATCCACAGAAGACAACTGGACCCTGTGTTTGTCTTCACTAAGCTCACACACTGATTCCACAGCACAAATGCCATAAATACAAAAGTAGTGATAAAATGTGAGAAATACAACATCAGCAGTCTACTTTTAGAAATTATTTTACACGTGTCTCATTTGAAACAAAATGTATCATTTTTCAATACAGACAATCTCATGACAAAATAAATGAGAAAACATGCAGATTGTAGGAACGTTTTTTTTAATAGGGCACAAGCCTTGAGAACAGTTTCTTTGCTCCAGGAGGGATAAAGACCTTTATTCTGAAGGGACCTCCTTCATTCTACCATAGATGTTCAGTTAAGTGGAGGTATATCGACTGTCCCATATTTTTTTCTATATCCACCAAAATAGAACTTCACTGAAAATATTTTAAAATGTCATCATAAGAAAGTCATTGGTTTTAATAATACAGTTGATGGTGGCCTCTCTCTGATTATCTTCTTCCTGATCATCTGAGCTGACCTCATACATATTAGTTTAAGTAACACATTCTTTTGAATCTGTACATTTTTCACGTCAACACACTCCTTAAGAACAGAGTTACTGCAGAATAAGATAAACCAACATTACTGCACACGTCACTTGAAACCCACTGACAAAAATGTTTCACATGTTGCATCACTATCTAACCTGTTATTGAAGGTTAGAGCTACATCAGTACAGTTTACAACTCCAGCAGTGTCCTGTAGGCTGCAGCAGTAAAGTCACACAGAGTTGCTCCTGAAGGCGAGAGGCACAGAGGAGCGGGACACTTCCATGTGCACTATGGACATGGGGAACTGCTCACACTCCTCCTCCAGCGGGCGGCAGCGGCAGTGCAGGAGCACCTCCCTCACCTCCTGTCTGAAGTTGGAGTTGAGGAAGCCGTAGATAATAGGGTTGATGCAGGTGGAGGACATGGCCAGCAGGTGGCAGAGGGAGAAGAGCAGGTTGTGGTGGCAGATGGGCAGAGCCTCCTGGTTCCAGTCGGACAACACATTAAAGATGGTGAGCGGCAGCCAGCAAAGGGCGAAGGCCATTATGAGGGCGACCAGCATGATGTTGATGCGCCGGCTGTTGGTCATGCGATGGCTCTCGGGGGTCCTTGCACGGTCGAGCATTTCTTTGCGGTGGCGAAGGCGCACGAAAACTCTAATGTAACAGAGCAGCACCAGCAACAGCGGGCCACAGTACTGGAACAGCAGGAGCCACGTGGTGTAGGCGAGTCTGTGCTGCTGGGACGGCCAGTGCTCCAGACAGGCCTCCATGTGTGGAATCGTGGGGATGTAGGACAGGAGGGTGCGATATGAACCCGGAGGCACAGATGAGTTTTTGTATGTGTAAGAGGCAGGTTGAGGCAGAGATGCATTGAGATGAGCCTGAGGGGAGGCCTGGTGATGAAGTGGAGACTGGGGCAGGATTACATTAGTGTAGGGCTCATTTGTGAGCAACTGAAAGACCAAGAAGGGGGTAGAAGTGAAGCAAGCCAGAATCCAAATAAGAATGAGTACCGAGTACGCCTGAGGAATGCTCGGCTTCCACCCAGAGGGATTAATGATGAGCTGATGTCTTTCTAGGGCGATGAACACGAGGGACAGCACAGACACCGTCACAGATACGCACTGGATGAACGGCACCAGGCGACACAACAGAGACCCAAACACCCAGTGATCCATGATCGTGTATATGACCGTGAAAGGCAGACAGAAGACACACACAAGAATGTCAGAGAATGACAGGTTGCAGATGAAAATGCTGGTAACATTGACTTTCTCTCTGCGACGGGTGATGATGCAGATGAGGCCAATGTTACCCACCAGCCCCAGCACCATTGTGATGCTGTACAACACCACGAGACCCCCCATGAGAACAGGAGACATATGGCACTGCTCATCGTGCCCGAGAACAAAGATGTTGGAGAGGAGCTGGGACTCGTTCCCTGGCCAGTGCACGGACTCGTGATTGTTCCTTCCCTCTTCCCCTGGTAGGGAGACCGGAGAGGTGGAGCTGTTCAAGGGCAGAGGCAGAGCTGTCGGCAGCGGCGGCGGAGGAGACTGGCTAATGTTGCCACTCAAGGACATCTCGCCAGGACTTCAGTGTCACCAGCCTCCAGGATCAAACTGTCCATCCCAACCCTCTGAAAACATGCATCTGTGACAAAGAGAGAACACACACACGCAGAGGAAAAGAATACTCTTAGAAGTCTTCAAAGAATTTGTTCATGCAGAATGAGAGAGGCTCAGAGTCAAGAGAAGTTCATGCTGTTGCTGAGGAGGAATGTATCTGAGGAAAGATGCAACATGTGAGAACTTTCTGCAGTTCAATAAGGTTCAATAAAGCATTATTATCAAAACATAAAATTATTCTCTATTTTTCGTCATGCAAGTGGGAAGGCTGTAGAATTGCAGTGTACAGCCCGTAGACTATAAAGATGGTCAACATGATGTTCACCAAAAGTGAAGCCAAAGGAACTCAATTTCGACCTGGTGGCTTGCTGCAGGATAGATCATGCTAAATTATAAATGTGCGCTCATGTGGTGACAGAATAATCCAAAAAAATCACTTAAACAACATCTCAAGTTGGAACAAATTAGTTTTTCCACATTGTGTCTTGAAAGCATGTGAGCACATCAAAGTCGGAAAACAACCTTCTGAAAAGCTGTGTCCTCCTCCTTCCAACTCCTCCATGTTAGCAGGTGGGACATGGACTAAACCAAAAAGTCAAAGTAGCTACATAAGCAAATACTTTTTTCTCAAAGATGGTTTTCTCTCATTTATTGTAATTTGTTTTCACAATAATATTTGCCCAAGTGCTAATATATCCTGTAAATTTGTATTAGATATTTGATGCTATAAAAATAGGGTGAAACGTCATAATTGACAGCTGAGACTGACTGATGATTGGCTGAGTGCATGTATCTATGGGACCATCCCCCGATCACTACTACACAGACTCTGGCTCCAAGATGGTGACATTCATATCCAGGACATTTAAGCTTCATTTCCGGATAATGAGGAACTGGAGCCATGTCATCTATTTTTATTTACAATCTATGGTCTGACAAAAAGGGGACCAGCACATGTAGCAGCTTCAGTTAAAGGATTTTATTGGCCATAGTGAAAATACTGAACATGAGGCTCTTTCTTCTTCTGATGTTTTTCTCCTGATAAAAACACCAGGAAAAAAAGGATTTTCTCCCTTTTTTCAAATGTTCTGTGATATTTCCAGCACCCATCAAAAATCCCTTTTAACTGGATGTGCATGTTGTTTTCCCATATTATTCTGGTTGAAATTATGTTCCTTTAAAAAGAGGGGAGAACATGTACACACAGAAGCTTTTATAAGAGGATTCTATTTGGTGTCGAGACATTTTGAACACAAGGCTCCATCTTCTTCTTCTTCTTCTTCCAGATGTTTTTGAAATGGTCTGTCAAATTGTGTTAATTAAGAAACCATCAAAACATTTTTTTCCGGATGTGCATGTTGTTGTTTCATTTATTAAATTGTTTCTTTTAAATTTAGTTCGGACATAGTATGAAAACCTTCACAAAATAATCAGATTTTTATACCAAGCTCCAGTACAGCTGCAGAGATTTGTATCAGTTCTTCGTCTTACAGTAACAATCCCTCTCTCCCTCTTTATTTACCCATCTCAAGATCTCAGACTTGTCAGCTCCCCTCCCACAAATGAGTCTTCCAGTCAGGCTTCAAGAATGAATGTAATGACAGTAAGATTACTATGCATACATTTGATCACAGACCTCCAGTTTTCAAGTGCATAATAAATTATGTAGTATGTCGAAGTGAAAGGGCACGACATTGTAAGATTCCTAAAAATGGATTCTGGCTCTCACCTCCCCTCCTCGAAACCTCTACCGTGAAAACCAGCATTGCAAAGGAAACAAGCCTGTCATTTTCCACTGATGGTACACACTCTTAGCTCTCAGTCTCTTCACACAGCATCATTACTAACCTACTCTGGCAGTGTGGTAAGTGAGCTGCAGGCAGGGAGGCATAGCACAGATCCCCCTTCCTTTGGGGAGAAAAGACAATTTTTTATAATGTCACCTGTAACAGATCGGAGGAACCATAAATGGCAGGAAAAACGGAATAAAAAAGTGATTAACAAGCAAATTTGAAGCTGACATGTTACAGTGTGACACTGGGGGATGCACGTCCAGCGTGTGCAGTAGTTGTGTGTGTGAGTTTCCCTCCAGAGCAAAATCTCTGCAGAATGAGGAACACTGTGACCTGGCACTGCACTGCCAATCATATTCTGCTATTCTCCCTCAGTGAAGCTTCCTCCATCCCTGACAGAAATAATGAAGTGAGAGAATGGCTGCATGTCATTTTCCCCCCAGACCAGATGCATTTTGTTTTTACAGAATTTAATCCAAAAAAATGTTCAATGAGTTCAAAGTTCAATGATAATAAAGAGGTCCAGCCGAATGAGTTGTGTTCTTTTTAATGAATTTGATAATTATACTGAAAATGTGTAAACATGTGTCAAAAAATTTAAATCAACCCCCTCAATGGTACATGCTGTATATATTAATGTAAAATATGTACATGCCTATAAATAGTGTTGCTGATTTTCCTATTTTACATTTGTATAAATGCATATCCCCTGTTTTTATTACCGCTTCACCAGACCACTGGACACTTGGTGGACAATTTTCCGGAATCTGTTCTAAATTCATTCTCATTCATTCATTCATTCATTCAAATCCATTCAGTGTTTCCAGATGCATGCAGTCAGAAACAGTTCCCAGCGTTACTGCTCTTTCGTGCGGAGGAGCAGGATAACGGCAGCAGGCACTGTGGTGTGCTCAACCTGAGATAATGACTCCAGTCTCATTATTCTCTGCTGGGGGTGTCAGGAAGTGTGGGTGATTCCTCCAGAGACCACGACAACAAATACTGTTGTGAATATTGGTTTCAACCATATTTCCACACTATATATTAAACATCAGATACATCATTTCCCCCTGGTTTGTGTTTTGGTCAGCTGCAGTTTACCTGATGAAATTTGAATGCATGTTGTATGAGATGCCTTCCAGACTGCTATTGTTTGAAGGCATCATTCAAAACCATTTGCAGAGGAAGATGCATGTACAGCACAATATGTGTGGACCCAACAGAGACAGACAATACAGAATGAATTTCATAAGTGAAATGAAAATAAAATAAATAATTTTCCTTGCAAGAAAACCATTACAGTGAGTGAAAATAAAGCACTTACATGGTGCGCTGGCAGAGTGGAGCGTCTCTGTGCTGCCAGGATGATAGTGAAAACAATATTCTGATGTTCAGGTTCGAATCCACAGAGATGACAGTTGAAGAAGGAGCTAAGACATCACTGTGTTGCTGTCAGAGGCAGCGGCTGGAGGAGCGTGGCTATTATTGGGCTGTTGGAGCCCTTTGGGTAACAGAGACCCTCTGAGCATCAGGCTCTGCTGTCACACAGTGGTGAAATCATTCAACTACATCCTGAAAATGTCACCTGCTGCAAGTGAGTGTTTGAGAGACAAAGAGCAGGCAAATGGAAATAGATTTGGAGTAGGTTATTAACTTTATTTAAAACAAGAGCAAGAGTTGATTTGTCTTTGTTTCTTGCTGATTTATTGTATGTCTGCTCCATAAACCACTGTAGCTGATCAAATGTAAAACAAGAGCTATTTCCAGGGTGTAGATCATGTTGTATGTTGTGTGTTTAGACGGGGAAACACTCTTTTGTCTTGTCTGACTTCAGTACGATCTTGACAGAACAGGTCTGCTTATCCGCAATCAGCTCACACTCCTCTGGGACGTCGAACTCACCCGCACCACTGACCCTGAGGAACAGATAAAAACAAATAAACAAAAACCCTTCTTGAAATGTTAGAAATGTTCTAAATATGGAAGTTACAAGGAATGGGATGAGAAAAAGAATGGGTGGTTTAGTTTTTCTCAGGGCTTAAAAGAGGCTGGTCTGTGGGAGGGAATTCTTTTGGTTTTCGGGGGGCTTTTTCCTATCGATGCTTTATTATTCCCAATTCAACTTCTAGCTCAAAGGACCTATATCTGAGTATTCTATTCAATACATATTTAACATTACCTCTCATTTTTCAGTGGTGCTCCACAGGGATGGTGCAACAGGGAAGTCAAGGCTGGCGATTGCCCGAGGCCATGAGCTGAGAAAAGGGCTGATTATATTTGTCCACAGCAACAATTGAGTAGGGCCCCCAGCTCAGTTTTGCCTGGGGCCCCAAAGGACACCTACAATTCCCCTGGTGATCCATGAATGATCCATGCACCAGTGGTGGGGCCAGGAGGGCACTTGTCCCTTCTGAAATCTAATTGGCCCCTGAATTACCAAGTTAATAATCTAGTCACATAAAAAACAATAGTATAAAAAAATTTGACAATTTGTGGAGATTCTTTTTATTTCCAAGCCACTTTAAAGTAAACAAGGATCCTTTTTCAAAATACATTCAATGATGTGTGGCTTTGCTCAAAGCTAGAGAGCTAACAGTAAACCAGGAATGACTTAAAGGTGCATCTTACCGAATCAGGGACTGTGCATGAATGATGGACATATAATTGGCCCCTCTGAGTAAATTGTGGCCCTTTTATGGCCACTGATTTAGAAAAATCTTATATCCACTGCTAGTGTCGCAACATGTGGTTTGGAGGTTCCACTTATAGGCTGAATAATAAATAAATAAGATATGGGTCATTCCATGATCTTAATGAAAATTGGCGTGCTGATTTGTTTACGTGAAAAACCGATGGAAACGTAATCTCATGTGTCTTAGACCTCAATTAAGGGAGTCATTTTCATTATCACCTGATTAAATTATCATCAGTGCACACATGGTGGCACTTATTGACACTTATTGACACACATCACCTTCTTCCTCAAGCAGAATCAGCTGTGCAGTAAAACCAGAGATCACCACGGTGCATTGTATGGAAGAACACTCAGCATGCAGCTGTCTCCCTGCATTTCCCCTCAGTAAAGAACATGTTTTTGGATATTTGACTGTGTGACCTTTGGCTGAGCTGTCTGGAGAAAACAGACCTCCCTGGCCGCTAGTTTAAAACACACCTGATCATGAAAACCATGCGCTGGTGGAAACATGAAATCTCATCTATATTTCAATATAATTTCAAAAAAATGGAGGGTTTAGCAAGGTCTAACCCCCCTATAGATCTGATTTATTACTTTTCCCACAGGAAAATCTTGAAGTTTCATTATTATAAAAGAGAGCATGAAAGTCTTACATGTTACAGCAGTTCACTCCTTCCTGTGAGCAGGAGCATGACATGCAGTCTTTGACCCACTCAGAGTCAAATTCATGCTCCTTTCCATCCTGATCTTCACAACCTGCATGTGCAGAAAGAAGAAACCACAGTTCAGAGGAGCAGTCGATCCAATAACCTCACTGTGCATGAGTGAAAGGTGGGAAGTAAACACACAACAGCTGGATGATGCAGTAATACTTGATGAAGAAGAACTGAATGCTATACATTTTACAACTTCTAGCAGAGTAAAGTTTTCACTCTACTTTGTCACCGTTATAGTCAACTCACCTGTTGGAGGGTTGTTCAAATCTTTGATGACTAGTTCTTGGAATGTGCAGTCAGAGTGGCACAAGACAACCAGTCCCAGAAGACAAACAAACACGCGGAGCAAAGCCTGATAAATTAACCACAAATGTACACAAGGTGAATTTTTGTGGTCTATGTAATGTATTTAAGCAGTTCTCCTTAATCAACTTCCTTTATTCAGCACATTCTTTTAAGATCTCTGGAGGACTGGAAGGGAATCCGTTTTCACGGTTTAGTCATTAGCTAATTGCACTTCTATTGACAAGAATAAAAAAACCTACAAGAAATAAAATAAGACATTCTACTGTCAGTGTCAGTTTTAACATTTTGGCAATTTGAATCTACAATACTGTAGTTTGCCATCACCATATATCATACAAATTGACACTTTTTACATTATCCCAGCAACATACAATACTGTTATTCCTTTTAGTCTGATTTATAAGGATTTGAAAAAAGGCACAGTAAAAACAGGAGCAACTTAAAAATAACATTATCCGTATTATTTGAATTTGTGAAATAATCTTTGTTTTTTTATTCAAATGTATTTCTTTTTTCTTCTTTCTTATAAAATATTATTAACCATGCAATGCATACATTTATTAATCCATATCTTAGTTACTAAGTAGAGCACAATAGTCCCCTTAGATTCAATGAAAATGCACACGTGTATAGAAATCAGTCCCCTAAATGCTTCATATCTTTTTTACATCAATGTCCATGAATTATTCCCTGGAAAATTTGGGACAATGTCAAAAAATGTCACAGAGGTAAAAACGTACATCACAGTTTAAAACCGGTTGATAAAAATAATTGACAGCCTCATTATTTCTGAACTCTACATGTTCATATCTTTTCCACTTGAATTGAGGTGAAAAATACTTACCATTCTCAGATGTGATGTGACCAAGTCTACAGAAAGCTTGAAGTGCATAAGAACTGACTCTTAGATTGGTTTTATATTAAAGGTGTGCCCCCTGCACACAATGATAGCATTTGAATAGTGAAGTGAGTCAGATATTTGCTTTAAGGTGGGGAATATTTGTAAAGCTTAAGACACACCTAACTTTATAATAACAATTCCATGTTATTTTTTTAATCTTACAAGGAGGCTATGAACCACTTTATAGAAATACAAAAAATTATTCATTGAAAAAGTCTGAAACATAAAAACAGTTTTCTATATCTGTAAACTTTTATTGTAGAGCCAAAAAGCAGACAAAGCACTTGGATTAAAAATAAAACAACAAACTGTAAACGATTTTTTTTAAATATAGTTTTGATCAACCACAAGATCCTATTCACTTCACTTTTGAGTTATCTAACAGTTTGTCCACAGTTGCATTCATGAAAAGTCTTTGTGCAACATAGAGAAACTGGACAAAACAGTCTCAACAAACCCAGCTTCATCATTAGCACCCTGTAAACAAATAGGCTCATTGGCAAAATTGAATATTGCAATAAAAGTTCAGATATTTGGTTTGTAAAAGTTGCGAATGTAGGCAGCCCAATGTTGTGTTCCAGCGGTGACACCAACTAATACAACAAAGCTATCGAAAAATTAAGTGAAAAATTAAGTTTAAATGCAAAAAACAGACGAGTGACTAAAACAGATGAACAATTGAAAGAAACGTTTTTCCTTTGGTAGCAGCCACCAAACTGGTGTCACATCTGTTTCCAGCAAAACAACACATAAACTGTCATTATGACAACTCTCAAAGAATCAGAGTAGTAATCTTCATGGATGGCTGCTGATCAGTTCCTATTTCAAATTGGAGTAAAACTCAAGACCACCAAACCATAAGTGAACCTGAATTATCCCAAAAGTGGAATATAAATAATCAAAGTGATTATTTCAAGGCAAATATGTATCAAAGGAAATGTCTGAACCTGTAGTAAACCACGTTTATTTCACTGTATGTGGCAGTGTGCAGTTTAATCTCGGAATAAATTAAAAAGGAATAAATTCAGTTTGCTATTGTTAGGTGAGAAATTACTGCTTTCATATATGTCCATTAAACCTGAAGCTCTACAGCAGGGTGGAGAGAATAGCTTAGCACAAAGACTGGAAACAGGGGGAAACAGGGAGCATGGCTCTGTTTAAAGAGAAACAATTATAATAATCTCTGAAACACATCTATTGAAGTGTTAAGTTTTTGAAACCTCTGCTAAGGAAGTTAGTTTTCACCCCTGTCCATTTGTTTGTTTGTGAGCAAGATAACGCATAAACTATAATATGGATTACCACGTAACTTGGTGGAAAGATGCTGCACGGGTCAGGGAAGAACCCATTTGATTTTGATGCAGATGTGATACAGAGGTTGAATCTTATATCAATGAGTGTGTGGCATTGGTGCAGCTAGATTGGATTTAAGGAAACGGTCCTCGGTGGAGGTATGCCCCCCACTGAGTGCCATTCTAATTAAATCCGTACAAAAGCAGCAGTGTGAAACCAACACATTGAGTACAACAAGTGTCATGCCAAATCATTATATGACGAGCAGCAGTGAGTCACAGTGACAAGGTGTCAGTTTAATCTTTGGTTTTAGTGCCAATAGTTAAATTTTGTTACCTTTAAACAGAGCCTTGATGCTGAGCTAACCCACTGCTCACATTAGCTTTATATTCATTAGACAGACATGAATGTGGACAACAAACTGTTAAACTTTTCCTTTAAACATAAAATTATTTAACAAAATAAAGATTTATGCAAATGAGGTAAAAAAATGAGATAAGAAGCAGCATGTCAAGTATAAAGTTTCTAATTCCGGCTGTAAATGTTACAGTCCATGCACTCAGCAGCAGCAGCTGTCTGAACGTCTTACTCTATCCAATCAGAGTCTTCATGAAGGTGGGTTTGTTGAAGGGCCAGTGATACTGATTGGGGACAGGTCCGTTCACATTGCACTCGAAGAAGGAGAACATGGGGAACCAGATGCGTGCTCGCCGGCTGTGTTGGTAGGCACGGGTGTTAGCTAGAGTGTGGTAGTAGAGGAAGAGGCGGGTGGTGATGTAGAAGGCAATGAACACGTCGATGGAATAGTGCTCATGGGCTGCCAGGATGAAGAAGATGCCAAACAGGTTCAGCACCCAGGAGATGGTGTGAATCAGGTTCCAGGTTCGTGGCGTGTCTGCAATTGAAAGGAACAGTTAAAGAACATGTTTGGTTGAAAGGATGAAATTACAATGTCAATATGTTTAAAAACTTTTTCCACTGGAGGGGAATTCAATATTTTCATTGTAATTTTCTGACAAAAATAATCAAGGATAATCTCTCCTTTAAAAACTGTTGCACATACTCTAAAACTAGTTAAAGGAAAGTAAACATATTAACACTCACATTCAGTCACGAAAAAGTTGAGCATCGTTATGACAACCGTGTGTCCGCTGAACATGTAGTCTCCACACGTTTGCACACCGGTCAGGGTCATCCCAAACCCACTCCAGATCGCTAGTGCCCTCTGTATCTTCTCCCAGGTATCACCGTATGTCTGTTGGAAAAAAAACATCCTGTTATCAGTAAGCCGTTCATCAGTTTACAAAGGGAGGGCACAGAGTCGAGACTAATCTGCATCAACTGTTAAGAGCTGAAGAAAATAATTGCTGACAACTCAAGACTGGTAAATGGCAAACATGATCTAATCAGCACTGAAGCTTGGGTGTGTCCTCCCCACCTTACTGGCACACTTCAGGTGCTGCCCGGGCACAGAGAGCGAGGTGACAAACATGGTGCAGCAACGAAGCAGAAACACGGTTCCCATTAAAGAACACAACCGCCTGAAGAGAATGGATCTAAATCAGAAACACAAAACACAGTTTCATAATGTTCATGTGGAAAGATAAATGAATACATTGCCATTAAAAAACAACATATCCAACAGTGCAATACATTCTACCTAACGCTGTTAAGTGCAATAATTGATCTATATGTGATGTCTGGTGCAATGTATGTGATTTTAGTGAATATTTATATCATCAGGAGTTCTTTGAATATTTATGAGTTTCTTTTTTCTCTTCGTGAATTCTCTGTTTTTGCTGAAATTAAGCTTGTACTTGGAAATCTCTCTGTCCACTCAGATGGATGGATAGATTGATAAATGATAGATAGATTCATCACACTGCACGGTGTTATAATATAGTCCATCAGTGGTGAGAATATGTGGAACAGTGAACTACAGTACCTGTGTTTGTGAAGCAGCAGGATCAACATAAACATATAACACAGGAGGAGGCCACAAGCTTCGGCCATTGCAAAAGCCCAGGGGATTCTGGGAACGCTGTGAAAATACAAAAACATCTGTTGCAGCGTGAAGATTACACAAGTGTGTATATTTCAATTTAATGTTAAATTAGACTGGTGATTATCAGTGGAATACAGACAAAAGTAATGAAGTGTTTACCTGTCCAGGAATATATCAGGAAGTGGGGGGTATGTCCTCATGTCGGGGACACGCTCGTGCACAAACACCATGACAACAGACGTGAATCCGAACACAAGAAACACATAAATGCAACTCATGACTGTCTTCCACACTTCTGGGTCCAGTCTACCAGCCAGGTGCTGCCTACACCTCCAGTTGGAGTGTGTATGACACAGTGTCGCTCCTAAACCGTATCCAGATCTGTCACCATTCCTAAGCCGCAGCTCAGTCCCATTACACAAGCGATCAGCTCCATTATATCTCCTCTCTGCTCCGTCGTATCCCCACTCTCCTCCTGCGGCACCTGACGAGAGTCCAGAAGGTAGGTTGTCTGACGGCTGCAGGCCCAGCTCCTCCAGCTCGGCCTGGTTCTGTCTCTGGAGCCGGCGGAGGGCCAAGGTTAACCTCTTAATGTCTCCCAGCACAGTCAGGCCCAGTGGTGGACCCCGCAGGTCAGCCTCAGTCAGAGCCAGCAGGCTAGGCCCGTCCAGGCGGTGCTGGGTGCACAATACCTCCACATACTCCCCAAAACCTTCCTCCTGCAGCCACTGGGCCACCTGCTTACAGCTCCAGACACTCACACCGTCCTCTGACGGAGCCATGCCACTGCAGACACAGACAGCAAAATAACTTGAATGATCAAGTACAACACTTCAAATGAGTCAAAGACATGAGGATAGAAAGTACAGACTGACGCAACATCCTGTTTGAACTGATGACTCCAATTCTCCAACGTCTGTTAACACTGAGTCACTTCCTTTTTCACCTCTTGATTTCATTACTCTCTGTGTGACTCTCCGCCCAGTTGTTTAAATGCAAATCTGATGTAGATTTTTCAATTTGCATCCTACTGATCACAACTCCCTGGCCTATGTATGAACGACACAGTCATTCATTTTGTATGGAGATGAGATACTCAGACCCCTTGTGTGTGTCTGTAAACTCATATACATAATATATGATTAAAGTGATTGATAAACATTTTGTTAACTACCACATTTTCCCCAGAGCCAAAACTGACTAACTTCATCCCACAAAATCTATTAGAGATTGAATTATTGATAAATCGACAGTTTATATTCAAGATCTGGTAAACTGAATAACATTGGGTTTGTGTACTGTTGGTCGGACAAATGTCAGTGGGCAAAAACCACAAACAAATGGACTTTAATCTAATAAATCAGCCAAACCTTGATTAATTGTTAAAATTTCACTATTTCAGCACAATAACACTAAACACTAATCAAGAATACATATTGTTAAGACATGCATGTGTTTAAAATGTAACACTGACTAATCAGGAGTCAGTGCCGATAATCTGCCGTGGCGGACTATTTGTGTTCTTATTCGACGTGACCCAGGACTGAATGCCTTGGGCTACTTAGCGCTCTTACATCATCAGCGTTCAGGTCAGTGACTGAACACTGGAGCTACAGATTATAGTGTCCGTCTGCTGACATCAGTGTCCTTATAAAGCAGGTCAAGGATTTATGTGTCAAACCAAAACAATGAAGGGTGACACACTGTTACACCTTTGTCATTTAAAAATAAAAATGAAAAAGGCAGCGACTCACTAACCATTCAGGGTTGACCCAAAAGCAGCAGAGTAAGTTTCCCTCCAACAGTTAAAGTCGAGCTCTGGTGAATCAATCTTTGCTTTGCCTTTTTTTTTTTTTTTTTTATTTTTGTCCTTTGACCCTCTGATAAAGTCACTGCAGTGCTGCTCCTCACTGCTCCAAAGGTCTGCAAGGTTCAAGAGTGAGTCGCTGTTGACGGCTGAAGGTGAGCGATAACCCTCATGCTTACTGGATGGTAAACACAGATTTAAAACTACCCAAGTAAGCAGCTTTTAGATAAAGGTTAAGTCAGAGGTATCACTAAATGTTCATACACATACATCCACTGTGCTGCTTTTATTTGTTTTAAAAGTTACAGTAGTTACTGAACTACAGACTACATCTCCTCTGTCATTACTTTCTGAATCTGGGAAATACTCCACTTGTTTTAGATTGTAGCGATTGTTTGTCTGAATCTACTAAAATGCTGATTATTTTCATGATTGCTTGATTTGTTTGCTCCTAAAACCCCAAAATAATAATTTTATCACAGTGAAAATCAAGAAAAAGCAGCTAATCCTCATGACAGCTAAAACTAGAATGGCTCTCAGTAGCACACATACCTCTGCAAAGGCCTAACAGTCAATCAAGCTGCACCAAACATTGATATGAGTCCTCGAAATGTGCCTGTTTTTTATTATTTCTGTTTCACGATGTTAGAGAAAGTGAAAAAAGAATTCCTGGATGTTCCCTCTTATGTGGATCAGCAGCAAAACTTCATGGATGCTTCCCTGACCCATACTTTCCCCAAGTTCTGAAGTAATCTGTTTATTCGTTTTAACGTAATCTTGCTCTCAAACAAGCGAACCAGCAAACAGACGGGGGGCAATTGATCAATTAATCTATTGATAGATGGAAGGAAATATAATCACCATTTTTTGTTTTAAGTTCTCCTCATGTGTGCTGCAATAAAGTGTGGAATGATAAACTGAATATTTTCAGTTTATTTTAACAATAAACTCACTATTTCATTATTGTCTGATGTTTATCAGAGCAAACATCAATGAAAGAAAGAATCCATTATTTATTAAGAAGATCAATCAAGTTATGAAAATAATTAAGTTTAGTTTCAGTCCTAATCCCAACACATGAAAAGCTGAAATGATCAAATATTTGGTATCTTTGCTTGATGAATAACTGAATAAATTAATGATTTGATCTACTGGGTTCAGAAAGAACTGCGACACACAAAGTAGACACAAGATACTCAGGAGCAATCGCAGTAAATGCATTAACACTGATAAAAAACAATTAATACATTTTTTTATATAAAAATAAATAAAAAACAAGAACAATAAAAAAGAAGATGGCATCACATAAAAGCAAATAAATACAAACAAAAATAATAAAGCAATAAAACATAGAAGGGTTAGAGTTGTTTTGTGCTATATACACAATTATACTACTTTGATGTGTTTTTCTACTCTAAATTGTGGTATTCTAGTCATATTTTGTGACTTGTGTAAATATATTCCAGTGAAACAAACCATGAGAGTTGATGACAAACTTTGTTACACACCGTCAACACAACAGATCATGTGGTGACTCGCTGCCTCTGAAGGATCCATACAGAATAACTATTCAAGCTGATCACATATTGACATGTGAGCGTTAAAGTGACTCACCTCAGCTCCGTTCCCTCACTCTGACTCTGACTGTCAAGTCTGTAGATTGTACTGGCAGCGTGCTGCAGCTTCTCTGGCCTCAGGCTTTGACTTGGGTGGGGGGGTTTGGATTCATAAGTGCCGTGTCAGCCTATTTGTCTGGTGGCTTACAGTGAGTCACACACACAAAGCTGAAGCTCTTCAGTGTGTGTGTGTGTGTCTATCTATAGTTATGAGGGCCAATTTTGGTTCAATACTATCACTGTGAGGACATTTCTGCTGGTCCCATAGTTAGAATTAGGTTTAGGTTAGAGTTAGGCATTTAGTTGTGAGGGTTAGGGTAAGTGGTTAGGGAATGCATTATGTCAATGAGTGTCCTCCCAACTATAGAGAGACATGTGTGTGTGTGTGTGTGTGTGTGTGTGTGTGTGTGTGTGTGTCAGTAACAAAGGCCTCACAGTGTGTTCAGCACAGGGCCACATTGTAACATCACACTGCTTCTCGTCAGCATGACATCAACTCCCCTATTTGTTTTATGGTGGTTTTTCAGTTTCAAACACAACTGTCTTCACAGAGCCAAAGAATGGATGTGTGTACATATGTAACAGAGAACAACTGTAGTCCCAGAAAGTACATTCAGTCATTTAACAGTCACTTATAATGGTTAAAGTTGCATCTCTTACCAGAAATCCAGTGTGAGTGAGCTGCCAGGGGGTGTAGACAGTCTGCCTGTTTGTGTCTCACTTCACTGGTGGACAACTTCTGCTTCTTGGCCAACATGCTTCTGACAACCAGGCAACAGCAAACAGGAACAGAGTGTAGTAAACAACAGCAGGAAAGAGGAGCTGCTGGCCTCATGCAGGACTGCTGCTGAAAACACACTGACACCTGCTGCTCACATCCAGGACAACTGCTCCATTTCATTACCAGGAGCACACTGTTGCTTGTGGTGGAGCAGGTATGCAAAGTAAAACCCTAAAGTAAATCTGTAAAATAGTAAAAATGTAAGGGTCCTTAAGTTGTTTTTATTGTGCTTTATAAATAAACCTGACTACAATATTGTAGTAAAAATCTGCTTTATTGGCCAAGTTCACACATACAAGAAATCTGACTCTGGTTTTCATTGCTCTCAGTGTGCTTATACATAAATAGACAAACAGCCTGAGGACTATAGAAACTGAACAAATGAGTACGAGACACAAAACATGTTGTGGCGGATTTCCTGAACTGTTGGTTTGAATCATAAAGAAAAGCACAAGGTGAACTGTAACAGGATGAGTGAGAGCCTGCAGACTGGAGTGGTCGAGTTGCACCACCTGTTTTTGACAGTCACAGGATGAATGAGGTGCTTCTGAAGCAGAGGCAACAGATCTGTGTCATTTAGTTTGTAGGGACAGGACAGAGCAGTTTATGACCTTTAGACTTGAAAATGTCAGACAGAGAGTTGATCACAGACAAAGGATGTGATACTGAGAAGTCGGATCCTGGAGAGGAGGAAGAGGAGGAGGAGGAGGAGAAGTGCACATGTGTGACAGCAGAGAAGAGAGAGAAGATCCGGTCTCTCCAGGAGCTGGAGGAGATTTTACACTCCGCTCCACGCTCCTGTCGCCATGGAGATGAGGTGTGGCCTAGCCTGTATCTGGGAGACATGTGAGCATCCTGTGGCTGATTTAAGTCCAGGTTTACCTTGTGTGAGCAGTTATTGATGCATGAAATGTTGTGTTTGTGACAGGGTCATGTCTCATGACAAGTTTGGGCTCTGGCAGCTGGGTGTCACTCATGTGCTGAACGCCTCCCATGGTAAACTGTGCTGTAAGGGCAATGATGATTTCTATGGAACCACGGTGAAATACCACGGAGTCCCAGCCAACGACCTGCCGACGTTTGACCTTTCACCCTTTTTCTACCCTGCAGCTGAGTTTATTCACCAGGCTTTGACATCAGGAGGTAGCAACAGATACCTTGAGTAATGTAATGATATACGTTGGGTTATTTGTCCTTTAAGCATCTCTTTCTTTGAGTGTTTAATGATTTCCAGGAAAGGTGTTGGTGCACTGTGCTGTGGGTGTGAGTCGCTCAGCTGCGTTGGTCCTTGCCTACCTGATGATTCATCACCACCTCAGCCTTCTGTCCTCTGTACGCTGTGTGCAAGAGAAGCGCTGGATCTTCCCCAACAGAGGCTTTCTGCGACAGCTCATAGCCCTGGACCGACAACTGCAGGACACCGATATGAATGAGATAAAATAAAACAAGGCAAAATATGTATAACAAAGACCTATTCTATGGATTTTTCTCTTTTTGTCTGCTAATTCATAAACAAAAGTAATCAACAAACAGATGGGTTTTGAACAACTGAACATTTCTGATTGGTCGTAGCACTCTGTATTTTATTACATTTTATTATTGAAGTGGCAAATGGACTATTTACAGGTCTGATCATGGACCTGAAGAAAATGTACGGGCTATGGACCAACGGGGAAGTCAAGGAGTTGCTTGGCATTTTTCCTGAGGACGACAATTGTTGAGATTCTCTGTAAAGCAGGCAGGTCATTGAAACCCCCACCAGCTGGTGTGAATTGCTTATGATATCTTCAAGGGTACTATTCTTCAGGGTCCCATTAGTTGGGGTGAGTGTATTCAACTGGAAGAGAACTTAGGATTCCATTGTAAAGTTGTTGCCAAAAGTTTGTCACTCATCATAAAAGGTGGTCTAAGGCGCCAAGATCCTCATTTGCAGCACCCAAGACTTTCTCCATTTGTATTGTTTTCTATGTACTTTGTGTGCAGCTCTCCCCTCACTCGTCCTCCTCTGATGTGACCTCAGTCTGGTCACAGAGAGAGTCCCTGACGTTTTGGCATCTGTGAACAGACCAGTCAATGCATCAGCTCCATTAAATAACTCCACATCCAGGCAGAGAGAACACTCTGAAACACAGGGAGCTAATTTGAGAAGAGAGCGGTATTCGGACAGCCACCTGCTCGCGTCTCTCACCGAGCTGCAGACTCTGGTGTCGGTGCTGGGACAGTGAACAGAGAGAGCAGTGCTGCTGGAGTCTGTCAGAGGAGCAGGGAGAATGTCAGGGAGCAACCAGCCGCTGGACCTGGTGCCCATTAAAGAACTGGAGCTCATTTTGGATTCCTGCACTCTGGAGCTCTCTGCAGTGGATGAAGTGTGGCCCAACCTGTACATTGGAAATGTGTGAGTGTCTCATGTTTGAGGAAGGGGGGGGGCATTGATCATAGACATACTACTGCACTGAGAGGCATTGATCTGTGTTGGTCTCTTTGATTTGCAGGGCTGTGGCACAGAACAAAAAGACGTTACATAAGCTGGGCATCACTCATGTCCTGAATGCCGCACACTCCAAGCAGGGCAGCATCGGGGACCAGACTTTTTACGAGAACACCTGTGTTTACTTTGGCATCCCGGCTGAGGATTCAGAGCACTTTGACCTCAGTCAGCACTTCAGACCTGCAGCTGACTTCATCCATAAAGCCCTGAAGAGCAAAGATGGTAAAGTACAAGAATGTGACACCCACATTGTCCCATCAAACAAATTTGTCCTGTCTCTCATTCTGCATCCTGCTCTACAGGGAAAGTGCTAGTGCACTGCATCATGGGAGTGAGTCGATCGGCCTCTTTGGTCATGGCATACTTGATGTTGCGGCAGCGTCTCCCTCTGAGAGATGCTCTGAGGCAAGTCGTCCAAAAAAGAGCCATTTACCCCAATCGCAACTTCCTGTCCCTGCTCCTCAAGCTGGATGATCAGCTGACGCTCAAACGAAGGTTGTGTCCTCTTCTCTGACGTCTGTCTTTCTCGTAGCATGAGTCGCCTCAGGGCTCCATTTCACTCCACATTACAGTAATTGGTGCTGGCAGTGTTTGTGAACAATGATTTCTTACCACAGTGAGTATACTGTAGACAGTGGTGCATGGTGATATTGAAATTCCATATTTTTATTGCTCTTTTCCTCAAGTTTAACTCCCGGCTACAGCAGCAATGATGATGATGTGTTTTTCCATTTTGTAAATAGGGGGTACAGATTTGTTTTTCATTTTCAAACTGTGTTCAAATGTTTCCTCTCAGTGTTGTCAGTCCACAAAGACACCAAAATGTCCACAAGTTTTGTAAATACATCTTTATGATTGTTGTCAATGTCCATTAAAGACATTTTCTGATATTTCTTTTGAATACTTTGGTCTCTACAGTGATATAATGACTGACAAAGAACTTCCTTCAATATGTTTCATTCTTTGCAAATTACACTTTATAACAAAATGTGATAGAACAGCTTCCTCCCAAAGACAAGCAGTAGATTGATATCGTTCTGTTACATGTTTTGCAATAAGAGAACATTTTTGACAAGTTTGAGTTTTAAATTATGCAAAAATCAAATGACAAAATAAATGCAAAAGTTTTGGATTATTTACCATTTTACAGCAAGTGCACATAGGTGTTTCAGTACCTCCGCTTAGGTCCTTATTTTGTTGTCAGTGTTTGCTTGTTTTTTCAGCATTTTCATTGATTCCTTAGAGAATAATTCGTGGATCTTGTGACTTTTAATGCGAATTCATAAGGGTACGGTTGGGCCTTGATTTGCACAAAATCAATGTCTTGATGAAATGTAAATACATCACTGTATCTATAATGTATCTCACAAATGTGCCTTTTGCATTTTCTTCTTTCTACAAAATTCAATAAGCTCTTTTTTAATTAAGGTAAATAATTCAGTATTATATTCTCACATAGCTGCGGTTAATGTCAAGGCTTTGAACACATTTCTTAAAGGAGCAGAGCAGCAGTTGCTGTCGGCTCCTGCATGGCAACAAACAGAGACACACACAGCGAGGTATTAAATAACAGTCTGTCGTCATCATGGAAACTCAGCAAGTGAGCTCATGTTGACGGGATGATGCCACATTGTTGTACAGAAGACAGAGACTTCAGGCATGCGGTCAAAATGGATTAGATGTGTTAGAAAGTGCCTGAATACAGTCTGTGGGATGTGTTTGTCACTAATGAGTGTATGATTACAGAGTTATAAAAGGAAACAGGCTGTGGTCGCGTGTGTTTGAGAAGGAATAAGAGTGAGCGCGGAAGAAGAAGAGTTTCACTGCCTTGAAGATCAGGATTAATAGTATGTCCCCTCTGCCGTTACGTCTTTATTGATGATTGATTGTATCCTTTATAATATGGATAAAGCTTTTGCAGAATTTTACAAATGTTTACAGAAGAAATTTCATGTAGTGAAAGCTTAAAAACAGGCCTGTGTTTGTGTGTGTGTGTGTGTGTGTGTGTGTGTGTGTCAGTATGTCTCTAAGGGATCCACCATATGCACCTCCTTCTGTCTCGGAGCTGCAGGAGTTCCTGATGTCAGACAGAAAACCTACTGGACATGTCAATCAAGTCTGGCCAAACCTTTACATAGGCAACGAGTATGTTCACACACAAAAACACACAAACACACACACACACACGCACACACTCACACAGTGCATCTATAAAAAATATCCTGAGTCAATGTGTGATTGTGCTTTAGGGCGGCGGCTCGTGACAAGGCCACACTCCACTGTCTGGGCATTACTCACATTGTAAATGCTGCTCATGGACCCCCCATCCCTGGCCCCGGGCCTTGTTTCCACGTCAACACCGGCCCGCTCTTCTACAGAGACATGACGGTGGATTATTATGGGGTGGAGGCAGATGACGCTGTACAGTTTATCCTGAGTCCTTTCTTCTACCCAACAGCACGATACATCCGAGCTGCGATGGCCATGGGAGGCAAGTCAGTCACACTTAGTTATTTCAGTGCGTGTGACTGGATTTACCCTCAGTGTCTGTTAAGTAAAGTGCACCTGTACAATATAATGAAACTCTGCAAATATATATAATGCACATCTGTTCAAGGTGTTAATTCAGTTTTATGTTCTAGCAGAAGTCCTGGTTAGTGAGGGTGTTGTATGTTCTTAAAACATGTTTCTGAGGACAAAGAAAGAAACACATCATAATACAATGTAGTCCAGTACAACACCACCTTTAACTATGACCCCAGCAATTAATAATCTCAGTCAATGTCCTGTCCCAGGACGTGTGTTTGTCCACTGTCTGATGGGTGTGAGCCGCTCTGCGACCTTGGTCCTGGCCTTCCTCATGATCGTCGAGGGCCTGAGCCTGCAGGAGGCAGTGGCTGCCGTCAGACCTCACAGAGACATCTGCCCCAACCCAGGCTTTCTGCAGCAGCTCCGCAGCCTTGACATGAGCCTGGAGAGGGAGAGGAGGAGACAACGACTGGCCCAAACACTGTAAACACACCCAGAGACGCACTCAAATCCATAGACATCAGCATGTACACCCATACACACACATCTTTATTGCTACAGAGGTAATTTAACCAAGGAGGAGGAAACACCATCCCTGACAGAGCTGAGGCAAATCCTCTGGATGGACAAGAAGCCGGTGACACCTGTCAATCAAGTCTGGCCGAACCTCTACATCGGAGACGAGTGAGTAGGAAAATTCCATCGAACTAAAACGAGAAGATATTTTAGTGAATCAGCTTTTGTGTGTGTGTGTGTATGTGTGCGTTTAGGTCTGTGGCGCGAGATAAAACCACGCTTTCCTCTCTGGGTGTAACTCACGTACTGAACGCTGCAGCAGGTCGACACAGGATCAACACAGGTCAACAGTTTTACAGTGACCTCAGGGTGGAGTACCATGGTGTCGAAGCTGCAGACCATCCGGAGTTTGACCTTCAACCTTTCTTCAGGCCGGCTGCACAGTTCATAGACGGTGCACTCAAGAAAAATGGTCAGTCTGGAACATGACAATAGGATCCAGTATGATGCACTTTCTGAGGAAACAAAAAAGACACAAACACATCTATGATCAGAAAAATTGGGAAATATCAATGTTGGCACTGTAATAATTAATTTCACTCCTAATATTATTTTTAAATTTGTCTTATGTTTGGTAGAAAATTCAAACATTGTCCTACCTTGGACTAGAATAAATCCTGTATTATATCATAATCATGATGGGTGTGTTGTTGATGTAATCTGTAATTCATCATTTCCTTACACTAACAGCACAAAAACAACTCCATAGCTCTCACAGTGTTATTAAGCTGTGTAATTTGATCAGGCTGATGGATGTTCCCTATGCAGCCACTTAAAATCTTCAAACCTGTGATAAAAATTTATCAATATTAAGATGAGGAGGTCTTAATAGTCATAAATTGAACATTTCAATCAATACATTATTTTTTTTAAGTCTTACTGAATACAACAATCAACATGTCTTCTAGGGAAGGTGTTTGTCCACTGTGCCATGGGTGTGAGCCGCTCTGGAGCACTGGTTCTGTCGTATCTCATGATCTGTCAGGGCCTGTCATTGGCTGAGGCCATCATCTCTGTCCGTCTGAGCCGAGACATTGGACCCAACTCTGGGTTTCTGGAGCAGCTGAGGCAACTGGAGCTGAGCCTCCGTCCACAGAACAGCCGGAGCCCACAGGAGGACGATGACCACATAAAATCGATTTATCGTAACTCATAAAAAGAATAAATGACAACACTCAAATAACAAATAGAAATGTCATCCCTCTGTCTAGTAGCCTATCTCCTCCCCAGAAACAAATTGTGCAATACAACAACTGAATGCTTCACGTTTTGTGACTCTGGAAATAACCGATCCCCACACCTGTCCACACATTAGTGACATTCCTGTGATGAAAATGATGCAACATGCTACTCTCACGACACTTCTTTTTGTTTTCTGGCATCGTGCCTCTCTAATCTGTGTCTTCAGATCAGATCACTGATCAGGTCACATTAGGAAGGTCGTGAGAAAGCATCTGTGTGTGTGTGTGTGTATGTGTATGTATGTGTGTGTGTGTGTGTGTCAAGTTGATGAGGTCGGCTGCTGTCGCCCAGCTGCCTAAAAATATCATCTTAAACACAGAGCCTGAGAGAGCAACAGTTTCTATTCAAGATCTGTGTTTCAGTCTTCATGCTCACACTACAGACAGAGGTCTCTGGTTGGCAGACAGTCACATGAACACACACAAACAAACACACACATGTCCACTGAAGACAAGCAGAGGTGCTGGTTTGTGATCATACTGAAGAACAGATTAACAATCAACAGCTTCTAACGCATACAAGAAAGAGGTGAGTCATTTTTTCCTGCTGTAGTACTTTTTTTAGGCTTCGTAGTTTTATTTATACAGACAATATCTGTGTAATTCATCCTGGCACATCTCAACAATGTGTGATCTCAAACAACTCGACCTGAGGACAATGTGTGTGAAAGAGTTTGGAAGAAGTGTCTGATACAATAGAGATGTAGAATGAAAATTGGACTGTGACATATCAAAGTTAAAAGAAATTAATTAATTAATTAGAACTGATAAAATAATAAGAAGTTAGAAAAATTATGGGATTTGCTGATAATTTTCTCAATAAATTAATTGAATTTTTTAACTAGTCTTGTGTGATTTTAATGCTTTAAAACCGAGGAGCGCCAAAAATACTGGACTGTTTGAGCTGTAAAACGTCTGAGAAGCTTAAAAGCTGGTAAATGACTGCAGCTCTAACACTGTATATTGTGTTAATGCTGCACCTACAGATGTGCAGGTGTTATTTCAGGGATGTGTGTGTTTTCTGTGCAGCAGGAGAGAGACATGTCGTCCTGTGTGGTGAAGTCCAGGAGTAAAAACCCGTACACGGCGGTGAAGGTGGACCCGGACAGTGATTACTTCACACCAGGAACATTGGACCTGGAGCAGCTATTCTGGGCCGGCAGCATGGCTCAGTATGCACATGTGAACCAGGTGTGGCCCAACGTCTACATCGGGGATGAGTGAGTAAACGAATACATTCACATTGTAGATTAGAAGTGTCAGAGTTAAAGGATCAGTCTGATCAAGATTCAGGTGAAAGGGATTCATGGCAAACATCAAATATAAATAATCCTAGTGATGTTTTACATGATCGTCTAACTGTATGCATTGTTGTTTCTTCACCCTATAATGGGCCCTTTATTTAAATACTTTATATTAAATCTGGAGGCCACCATGTGTTTTACAGTAGCCCAGACTGGACACACTAAAAACATATTGAGTTTTAATGGCAACTGAAGGCTACCACAGGTTCTCCATGTATGGAAAGGGGGGATCAGGTGAGAGGTATTCAGCTGCAACATGCAACTTCGCCACTAGATGTCCCTAAATTCTGAATACTGAACCTTTAACAATGAGTCTGTGTGTTATATGAACACAGGAAAACAGCTCTGGAGCGGCCCGGCCTCAGAGAACTGGGTGTCACACATGTGCTGAATGCTGCAGAGGGGAAGTGGAATAATGTGCTGACTGGTGCTGATTACTACACTGACATGAACATCCAGTACTTGGGTGTGGAGGCAGATGACAAACCAACCTTCAACATCTCCCAGTACTTCTGTTCTGCGGCCCAGTTCATCCATGAGGCCCTCGTTCACCCAGAGAGTGAGTTCTGGAGGAAACACTTTGAGACAAGAAGACTTTACTCTTCTTTGTTTACAATCAACCACTTTTACTTTTATTCCAGACAAGGTGCTGGTGCACTGTGTGATGGGTCGGAGCAGGTCGGCCACTCTGGTGTTGGCGTACCTGATGATGAAACACAGCTTGACTGTGGTGGACGCAATTGAGCATGTGCGACAGCGGCGTTGTATCCTGCCCAATCACGGCTTCCTAAAGCAGCTCAGAGCCCTGGACATCTCACTACAAGAGGAGAGGCTCAGAGAAAAAAGAGAGATGCAAGATCAAATGTAGATGATATATAGATAATAATCAATCTCAGGTATTTATATGTTCATCAGCTATTGTATCAATAAATTCTGTTTTTTCATAACTATATCATTTAGGATAAAGTTCAAATGGAATTTTTTTTTTCTCAAGGGCTCAGTGATGTTTTTCATCATCAGCTACTGCTACAAGTAGATCCAGATCAGTGCATAAAGGGCCTGGCACTGATCAGAATGAAATGATCACATGACCACACAGATGCTTCAGCTCTTCCTCTGTATTCAGCAGCCGATCTGCGATTCTGTTCTAATATGGTTCTAAGTGTGATATCAACCAAACTATGGTTAACACTCACTCCGAGGAAAGTTGATAATCAGTAAAATCAAGCTTGTGTGTTTTGTTCATTTCAGACTTTAAGGTCAGGCACAAAGATAGATGACTGAGTATTCTGAGACATTAAGTATTTTAACACCAGATATAAAAAGTTCCGATCCACATTGCATTAGTTCTGATGTTTGTAATAATAAGAAAACGACACGTACTTCTTTCAGATTATGTCTATTTTCAGGTTCATTTTAATACCCACTGTATTACTCGAACAGAGAACACTCAGATACAATGACGTGTATCCATGCTTCAGTCCCACAAGCACCAGTTGCTCATTACTGGTTGATCTGTAGGCCTCCACTAATCAATACTCCAAGCTTCGTAACGTTTACAGTGATGGAATAGAAAAAAAAGGCACTTATCATTAGAAACCACAAACATTGAAGGTAACTTCTGGGATCACAGACATGGTACATGTGACATTTAACAGTGATCACATGGACGCAGCAGTGGGCAGAGGCTTTTACACAATTAAAAAAAACAGTGTGCACTTAAAATAAAAATGTTTGGCTTAATTACTGGCCTGTTATAATTAAAACCTTAAACTGGCATTAAAGGAATAACTAATCTTACAAAATCTAAAACAAATCACTTCTGCACAATTTCAAAGCAGTGCCCGAAAACTCCCATGACGGTTATTCCCTATTCCTCTGTTTGTGTAGTGTGTCCTCCCACGGTGGAATCATCTTCTTGAGCCTTGATTCCATCTCCAAGAAGAAGCAGGAAAAAAAACACACTCGTGAAATGTCAACATTAGAAGTCGCAGCAGAGTGTGATGGCAGTCAGTGGGAGACATGGCAGCCAGACGCTGGCAGTGTCGGGAGCCAAAATAAATTTAAAACGATGCAAAAACAAAAAAAACGTCTTTGAAAACACAATTTCGTGTTTAGTTCCCAAATTTTTACATCCCGTGTTGTTATCATGATTCCTCTATGGTCATTTTAGTCCCTGTAGTGGCTCATGATCCTCTAGTGGCCCCAAGTGGCAGACACATGTCAAGAGGCACCGAAACAACTATCGGTAAGAAACTATGTGCGGACTGATTGAGAAATATAATGGACGGCTGGCTGATTGAAAAAATGGCTCTAAGAGAATTGAGGGGTTGTAATTATAGAAAACAGAGCTCATGGGTCAGACTTGTGTATGGCGAGGTAAGAGCAAGGTCTCAGGCTGAAGGAAATGTCTGGAAATGCGTCAGTTGAAGTCAGGTTTTTCTGGGAAGGTGCAACCCGCTCGTCTGATGATGACATTGCCGGCGTAATGTGCGGCCTTCACGCACTGATCCAATGGTTTCTCCTGCACCAGCTCAGAAAGGAAACCTGTGTGACAAAGGAAAGACTTTAACAGAATTCCACAAAAAACACAGACAGCTTAGAAATGTATCAAATGAACACATAAAAACCTACCTCCTACAAACGCATCACCTGCACCATTCGTGTCAACAATGTCCTTAGGGTCGATCTTCAGGACAGGGAAGGCCTCCACTTTGTCACCTGAATAGACATGGGAAGGAAAATTATACATCTACAGTATAAGAGGACGAGAGACTGATGCTCTATCCGCACTAATGCGAATATTTCGCAAAACAAACATTTTAAGTCAAGGAAATTGTGATTTTTCCAGAGTGCAGGTTTTCTCAAGTTTCTGTGTACACGTGAAAAATGGAGCGTTTGGGAAATGATGACATCACAGCTTACTTTGTGCATGCCTACTGTATCTTTGCGTCAAAGTAAAAGTGTCAGCTATAAACCGTTTTTTCTATATTTGGTTCGCTCCGCTAGGTCTAATTATTTCTGCAGTAAATGAAGTATTATCACCACATCACCGGTGTTTACAGGCGTTTACCACAGCGTTCTTCTCTCGTATTTAATAGCTTGTTGATGGAGACTCTATCGCCCCCTATTGGTCCAGCATACTTGTTTGAGTGTTTGAAGTTTATTAAACAAAGGTCTGGAGGTTTTTTTTTTTTTTTTATAAATGAGGGGAAAATAGCCACAGTAGTGGACACAATGAGTGAGAGAAAAAGTGGAAATCTTACTTGAAGCCATGACAGTGTTGTCCTTCCCCTGAGTCAACACTACAATCCTCTGTCTCTTTGTGTTGTCTTTGGGTAAAGCCTGAGCTTTCATGGCAATTTCCTTAATGTCCTTGGTCTAGAGACAAAATACAACACGACGATTGGGTGATGTGCAAAACACTTTTAAAAATGCAACAAAGAATGAAAATGCTACAAGAGAACGTCAGTCCACTCACCTCGAACTCTTGCTCTTTAGCAAAAGCTGCTGCCTCCTGAGGAAAACAAAGGAAAGAGTTAAATTTTACAAACAAAAGAAATTTGTCGTCAATTCAAAGTGCAACTGCAGAATGCACAGTGAAAGTCTGTCTTACCGTCTCGTTGCCGAAAAGCACATCAACGTAGGGCATGACCTGCATGAGGTTGTCCTTAAAGAACTGGCAGATGAAGGGCGCAGAGAGGTTCAGGCAGAACAGCTTGTTATTTTCAGACGCATGCTTTGCCACTTTCAGGATGGACTCCAGTGAGACGGTGAGGAAGAAACCCTGGAAGGAAGGAACGACACTAGGTCAAGACCGATGTGTTTTTAAATCTTGATGGACTCTAATGAATCATGAACAGAAACTGCAGCAATATAATGGGAATACAAAGGTTAAGTGATAGGACATGAGATGACCTTCAACACACAATAAAATGGTTTGATAACTACTACTTACAGCAATATAGAAGACTTTAGCTTTTTCCACCAGCTTCCAGTTTTCCTCCAGGTCTAGATGTTTGTCCTTCTTATAACAATTAGCAGCAGCTAGGTTAGCTACCAGAGACCTGAGAGAAGGAAACAAAAGAGGTGAGGAGTTATCGGCAGATGAGATTATAATGTGTAGACAAACACAATATCATTATTTACACACCTATTATCTCCTGTGATGCAAGCAGCGCACGTCCCTGTGGGCTCTTCGTCTTGCTCATAGTAATGGGCGTCGATGTGAGCCTCTTCAGCCTTCTGCTTCAGGATCTCTCCAAACTTGTCTTTGCCGATGCAGCCAAAGAACGTGCCCACATTATGAGGTTCTTGGATCATCCACTGCAGGAAATAGCTTTGATCAGTATCAAGTATGTTACTCACACAGTGTTTCCAGTAATTTTAAAGAGCATTTATGTGAGGACAGAAGAGGAGGTTAAGAGTATTTTTGTGTGCATGACTGACCTGAGCGATCTTTATAGAGTTCTGCGTGGCTCCTCCGGCGTGGTATTCAACTTTAAACTTCTTCACCAGCTCCTCAAATCTGCACAGAGGCAAACATTTTGTCAAATTTTAAAGGAGGATTTAGTCCCCATGTGCATTCAACATTTTCATTTGAAACAACATCAATTAAGCTACGGACACACCTGGTGTGCACACCATTGCGGCCTCTCATTCATACCCTAGCTCTTTCTGCAACTAAAAACCAAATGCCTTCTGTTGACACTGGCTTGTGCAAGTGTATGTGAGTGGTGACATGGTCAACATGTGTTTTCATGCTTGTTAGAAGGAACGAAAATTTAAACCGATACAAAGTCATAACGTTTCTGTGGACAGAGATTGTTTTAGCTGGAAAATGCAGTTCTCAAATTAAACTGAAATCATGTCGATGTAGTGTTGATGTCATGTAGATTTTGTTTACTGTTGCACTGTGTTTTTGAGACGCTGGCTAAATGACATCTAAGTACAAATTTCCAAACCTGACCACACACACTCAGTTACAATTATAGCTGGGTACGGTTTTGAGCACTGACCAAGCTGTGTCTGTTTGGTGCTGAAGGCTTATCCAGTTTCTTAAAGGAATAGTTACAACACTTAAGGAAAATACTAGGCACATTCTGTAGCTGGGTTGCTTTATTGTGTCCACTGTGATGTACATGCTGATGGATGTAGCTTGACGGAGAGAAACCTCATCTGGAGTCAGACGGTGGTTTCTCTTACAATATACGCATGACCGATCACTGATTACACTATTTGAACCATTTATGCCTGTTATGTAACACAATGACTGAAGCGGCGCTTTGATGCTTTGCTTGGGGCTCCTGAATTCGCCATGTTATGAGGTCTAAATATAGCCGCCATGTCAACCCATACACAAACATGCATCTGTGTGGTTTGTGTGAGAGAGATAGTGCTGACTGCTGTTAGCAGTCCGGAGACTGAGGTTGGAGGATAGGAGACAACATCTGGAAGAGGGGGAGGAATATAAAATGGGGGTGACTGTCTATCAATTTTACTTATCAAAACTACATATTATAATTCATTATTCTACTACCTGCCTTTATATATTTTAAAAACCCGAGGAGTCAGACTACATGAGTTTAATCTTCTCTCACACAGTCACACATGATTTTCTTATCTCCCACTGTTCAATATTTGCTTTCTCGCTCTTGTCTCAGAGGGATTGGGAGGTGAGAGTGTGCTGCTCTGCTATTGGCTGAGGCCAGCTCTCACTACTGGATCTGCTGCGCTGCCATTGGCCGTCTAAAAAAGAACGGAGGTCAGTTGTGGTGTTTTCTGGTGTGTGCCTGTTTTGACTGGCCCACTCAAGAACAGAGAGGAACAAACTCAATAAGGATAACGACAGATGACTTTTCTCCCTGTGCCAGACTCCAAACCACATTATTGGTGTTAGACCTCTATGTTCAACAGGAAATGTTGGAGACATACGTACAGTGCTTTATGCTTATCCTCTGCCAGGATCTGGTCGTTAGGTTTCAGCATGTACCTGCAAATAATTAGAGGAGAAAAAAAGTAATCAGAACCATGTCAAACAAAAAAACTCTGCTCATTCAAACACACAGTAAGAGTCTACAATAAGTTTACGTGGATAGGCATCGCAGACACAGCAGCAGTGCTGCCAGACACTCACACGGAAAATGTGATTGAAATTTTTTGGCTATAAAATCACAGGGAAAAGTTTTGAGAGGCTCTATTAAAGTGTCTGTTACTCCCCAACTCCACATCAATATGTTGGTCTAAACAATGAGCAGTTTCTTTGAAAGGTAGGCTGGGGATTAACATGCAGCTTTAGTCCTGCTTAATTCTATGTGTGAGACTGAGATAGCTTTGCTGGTTTATCTCTAATCCAGGGGTTTGAATGTGGACTCTGAGCTGGAGCCCAGAGAAGCCCTTTGCCCTGGTCAAGTCAAGCAGCTCGGACACACAAGAAAACTACTGATCTGACTGTGTGTCTCTGTAAAGCACCTGAGTCTACCTGCTCGTATGACCTATGTTTTCTTATTAAACTGCCTCACCTTTTGTAGGGTGGTGATATACTTAAGACAATTGCGCTAATCTTTTTAATTACATTACATTTTAATTTACATTATATTTTACTGCCACTGCTACTTCACATGTTGTCTTGTTAACCTCATTCTGACTATCTGCTGCTGTATCGAGTGAATTTCCCGGGCTTGGGATCAGTAAGATTAATCTTTTCTTCCATATATATATAAATAAGCAAGCAAGAAAATGACATATATGGTTTACTGCTGTAATGATTTACATCAAACTTGAGGGAAGAATGGAATTAAATTATGTATGATTCATGTTGTAAAAACAAATGTAAACATATTTAGGATTGTTCGACCTTGATGGGTGTGTAGACTACGAAGTGTAATATAAATGTAATGATAAAAAAGGGAAATGCATTCAATGTATTGCTCAGCCTAATGCATTGCTAATGTAAGGAGATACTGTCTCATACACTAAAGCTGTGTCTCTGCTGGACATCAAGCTGACACTGACTATTTGACATCTCTGCTGTGTCCTTTGCTCTGTTCTCTTGCATCACCGTTATCTTGTATCTCTATTGATCGAATTAAATCATAGAGGCTCTTTCTCTTACGGTCAGCCTCTCACAATAGCCAACTAACTGACACCAGATGTCTTTATTTCATATTATCAGATTGTGCCTGTGCTTTGTGGGGACATAACGGCAGCATCAAAAGATCGATTTGAGCTTCACATCTTGAACAAAAGAACATACGCAACATTGAAACATAAATAATCCAAATATTTTTGATCATGTATTGTACCAACTAGGATTTAAATATATGGTGCTTTCAGTACAGTACTTTATTCAAGTGACAATTTTATTCCATTGCTTCAGTTCTTTAACTTACTTGTCCAATAAGTCTTTGTCCACTACAGCACAGATGTCCAGCAAAGGGTTTCCCATACCAAAGAGCGAGTTAGTGCTGAAAGATAGGGAGACTGAGTGTTAGAAGAAAAACACAGATCTAGAGGGTTTATATTCCCTCCTTAACTCTACATAACATCACTATTTTACCTAATCTGTTGGTCTGTTCCGAAGCTGCCCCTTATGGTCTAACTGGATATGAAACCAGTTAAAGCTCAGTACTTCATATGTTCCGTACTTGTTCTTGTCTACTTATGTTTACACCAGGGATCTGAGAGAAACAGCATTTCAATCCCGTCTATGTCCTGTACATATGGCTGAATTGAGAATACAGTTGACTTTGATATGTTTTTTGATTTATATGTAGTTTTTTGTGCTGCACTGTTTCTTTTTGCACATTGGTCTGTATATTTGTGGATGAAGGACAATGGAGTTGACTTGACTGACTTAAATCCTTGTTTCAGCTCATTGTGGGAAAACAACTCCTGTTCGTCCTCTCTGCTGAATATGTTGGTTTCTTTACCATGTTTACAATTAATGTGCAAAACATGTGACTTCATTTCAATCACATGATTTATCACTTCCTGTTTACACAGACAAAAGAAGAAATAAGACATTTCTTAGAGACCTAGTTCAGAAATGACACATGGTCAGATATTATAAGAGAACATTAACATGGTCGGCAGTGAGACACCTAGCTGGTCATGCATGTAACTGTGTTATGACATCCACAGTGAGCAAACATCAGGACAGTAGCAGGCTCTCTCTTTGTGTGTGTGTGTGTGTCTGTACTGTTCTTTCCAGAGGCAAAACAGACCATGAGGCTTGAAAGATGTCACAAACCAGTCTTGTGACATCAAGAAAACACAATTTTAAAAAATCAGTACAGCAACATTCCCACCACTGGGGCTCAACAAGATGTGACAACGATTAAATAGCACTTGTGTCCCCGCATTAAAATCCCACGGGGACTAGTGTGTTTGTTTCTCTATCTGTGATTGATGCTGCAAAAGCGCTAGGCTATTGTGGTAATGGCTGCATCATATCTGTGTCTTGGTGGTGTCTTCACTTCTTCATGCTGGTTCCACATGTCAACAGTCATATCTGCCTTAGGGTAAACCCCAGGCGCAGGAAGTCCTGGACAGATGTCACCTCCACACACCATTTTCCCATGTGGCCTCTCTGTCTATGACCGCAGGGACAAGATCTGAGGCAGCAGGAAGACGCAACATGGGAGGAGGATTTTGAAAATGCAAAGATAAAGGAGACAGCAGGCAGGGACTCAAGTTACACTGGTGAGTTTGTGTCACCGAAAGACAGAAAATGCATTTACCAACGTGGCAGATGCACCAACATCTGACAGTAAACATGTGGCAACATGCAGCCTGATAATTAACCGGTTTTCTACAGCCAATCACCAGTGCCGGGATTCAAGTCAGCTCCCTGTATGCCAACGTGGTCTTACCTTGCAGCAGACATCATGGTGTCCTTCTCTGTGCGTGCACCAGCTAGAAACTAACAGACCTGTTGAGCAACCTAAAACCGGTTCAGAAAGAGCTAAGCATTGGGGAAAAAACTTCACATCTTCAGCTCAGTGAGAGAGCGGCCAGATCGATTTTCCCCTGCAACCGCGGCTCCTCCTACTCGGGGCGGACTGATTGGTGGCACGGGGAGGAGGAAGGACCGGGGCTGGCTGTCTGTCTGGTGATAGGCTCGTGTTGCAGCGTCCTGCGAGCCTAGATCCTCAATCCGGTCACTGCCTGGAAGCTGAGCGACGGCGTGACAAGCGTGCTGATGACTAGAGACACCATGCCGATATATAAAGAGTAGTTCCAGCTGTTAGGGGTGAATGGCAGACGTCGCAGGGTAATGCAACATGTTTGGATCACATGTAAACAGCATGGAAGCGCCACAGATTCCCCACCACGTGTGTTTTTGGAGCTGGTGGTTGCAGCTGTTGTTCTGAATGGAGGGAGAGCATCAGACAAATAAGACTCTTCCTGCAGCTTTAAAACGTGAAAGGGGCAAACAGGTGGTCGTCCTGAACCTGGATCGGACACTGTCGCGCGCACACACACATACACCTGAGCCGGAAGCTTGTTGCCACAGTAACGGTGGTGTCCAAAGTGCCCCTGACCCCATGTTTTACAACCCGCTAACTGTTAGCACGAAGCTAACCGCTGCGATACCAGTCTCCTCTCTGAGGGGTTTACACACGGTCGATGCTCAACACAAACCCGATAGTTCAACCTCACACGTTCATTTCAAACACTGCTAACTAAACAGACTGGAGCTAATGTTAGCATTCTCCGAGGAGACGCGTGTCCCCCTCGCTTCGAAACGTTTATTTTATCCTTTGAATCACCTCAGTTTGGCAGAAGTCTTTTTGTTCGGAGACTCCTTCTTCTTCTCCTCCTCCTTCTCCGAGATTTTGGCTCTCTTTGCTTTGGGTTCATCGGAGGCCATGATGAGTGAGTGCAGAGCAAACAGAGAAGAGCAGAGCACGTTGCACCGGCGAGAGAACAGCGGGTCACACCAGTGGGAGTTCAGTGCCCGAAGTGAAGGCTCGCAGGGAGAAGTGGCCTTCCACCAATCAGAAATCAACATTGAGGCGCGTTACCTTTACATAAGGGCAAGATAAAGGTGCTTAACTTTAGACACAAAATATACTAAACAAAAAACACCGGGCAGTTAAAACAAGTCTTACATCAACAGGACTTAAGAAGACCAAATATAATATAGTATAATATAGCACTTTTGAACAAAGTTACAAAGTGATAAGATACACAGCAATAAAACGGCTAATTAATTTCTGAAGAATAAGCATTTTTTTTACTGTATTACCCTATTTATGTTTTGTACTTTGTTTATGTTATATACAATGTTATGTGTATTATTGAATATGGTTGTTGATTTCTGTCGCTAAATGTGTGTAATCTGTAATCATGAGGATTATTAAAAAACAAAAGTCTAGATGAATTATTAGTTATTTGCATTCTGACTTATTGATCCTGTTACATTTATTATTACTCTCAGAGGGGGGAGTGGCACTAACACCTGATAGTCTTTACTCGGGGGAGCAAAATCCTAAATAGCTGGCCGAAAACGTCGCCTGACTAAAAAGTCGCGAACTTTTCTCTGAAAGTTTCATGTCGGTTACAACTCGGCTTGCTTCACATTTGAATCCTTCACAACACACCTCGGTTCTTCATTAACGTTGTTCGGACCTTTTTATTTTTCGTTTATCGACATTTACTCGGGTCTGAGTTACGTTTACGTGTCGTGGGATCTGCAGGCGCCTCCTCAGCAGCTCACACACTTCTGCCATATTGACACAGTGGTTTAGTCGTGACAGAGTCAGCTGGAGTCAGCAGGTAAAAGTTTTTACAACATGTTAAACTTTATAAACATTAATCTCCTGGTCTGAGTTTTCATATGGCTCGGTGTTAGCTTTAGCGGCAAAATACAGGCGGTGGAAAAGCTCCTACGTTGCTACGCTCATGTTGCTAACTAACCAGACACCTGAGGTAGAAGTTAGTTTTCCAGATTGTTGCTAAATGTTGACGTTAATGACATCAGCGGTGTGTTGTTGTGATTTGTGGGCAGACTCGTGACTGACGAGGGCCGATGTTCAAAATAAAAGTGCTGACGTGATGTTTCGAGGCGAAGCTAACGCGCTAACAGACGCCTCGTTGTTGCAGTTGAGATGATCCACAGTCTGTTCCTGGTGAATCAGTCGGGAGACATCTTCCTGGAGAAACACTGGAAGAGCGTCATCAGCAGGACCGTGTGCGACTACTTCTTCGAGGCTAAAGAGAAGGCGGTACAGCCGGAGAATGTGCCCCCAGTCCTGCAGACCCCCCACCACTACCTCATCACCATCTACAGAGACAAGCTCTTCTTCCTGTCCGTAGTTCAGACAGAGATCCCCCCGCTGTTCGTCATCGAGTTCCTGCACAGGGTGGCAGACACGTTTCAGGTGCGTCCAGACAGATGCAAGGATTTGTAAATCATATTGCATCTGTTTTAACTGAGCGTATACAGAAATATATATGTTCCTGCTACAGAAGTCGCAAAGCGAAGAACCTTCCAAAGTCAATGTACATACTGAAATGCTTTATTCACTTGTTTTTTCGAGTGAGCTGGCTGTTTAGTATTTCATGATCTGTTTTAGTAATAAAGATTATAGTCTTTGTTTTAGCATAACAGGTCTCTTTGTCATCAGGACTATTTTGGAGAATGCTCAGAAAGTGTCATCAAGGACAATGTGGTGACGGTGTACGAGCTGTTGGAGGAGATGCTGGACAACGGCTTCCCTTTGGCAACAGAGTCCAACGTCCTCAAAGAGATGATCAGGCCTCCAACCATCCTGCGATCAGTTGTCAATACGCTCACAGGTAAACAGAGGTCACTCTGCACCGCCCACTGTGAACTGATCTCTGAACTGGATCTGAATTGATATGAATGTGCACCACTGCTTTTCTGTGTCCTTTCCAGGAAGCAGTAATGTTGGAGATACGTTGCCAACAGGACAATTGTCCAACATCCCGTGGAGGCGGGCTGGTGTTAAATACACCAACAATGAGGCGTACTTTGACGTGATAGAGGAAATAGATGCCATTCTGGACAAATCAGGTACAAACGACCACTTGTTTGATCACCATAGAGGAAGATTATATTCAGGGCAGAAACATTAGATATGATTGACCCATTTACATATCCTTTTATTTCTCATTCAGGCACAACAGTATTTGCAGAGATCCAGGGTGTGATTGAAGCCTGCGTGAGACTCACTGGGATGCCTGACCTGACGCTTTCCTTCATGGTGGGTTCATGCCCTTGTTGCTCAGTTTTTCTTGGTGTCTAAAAACTCACTCACTGGCATCATTGTTGTTGCCTTTTTTGGTAACAGAATCCTCGTCTTCTCGACGACATGAGTTTCCACCCATGTGTGCGGTTTAAGCGCTGGGAGTCGGAGCGTGTCCTCTCTTTCATCCCGCCAGATGGGAATTTCACACTCATGACCTATCATGTCAGCTCTCAAAAGTAAGCACAGCCATAGCTTTGTGTCTCATTCATAATTTAAAAACATTGTCCATAACCAGTTCTTGGCATCATTGTCGTCATGAGCAGGACAAGTTGAGATTTCATTAAATACGTTATGGAAGTCTACCAGTTTATGCATTTGTTTCTAGTTTGAATATATGATTGGATATCGGGCTCAAGTGTTACTATATCATACACTATTCTCTCTGTTTCGTTCCTCAGTCTTGTAGCTATCCCAGTGTACGTGAAGCAGAACATCAGTTTCTTTGAGACGGGATCTTGTGGCCGCCTTGACATCACGATCGGACCCAAGCAGACCATGGGGAAGACGGTGGAGGGTTTGATGGTCACTGTGCACATGCCTAAATCCGTGCTCAGTGTCAACCTCACAGCCTCACAGGGAAACTACACTTATGACCTTACTACCAAGGTAACTAACAAAGGTTGACCTCAGCAGTAACACAGTAGTTTTGTTTCAATTAAGATTTGAATGTCAACACTTTTCTCCAATCATCATACAGTTTATTATGTTTTTTTTGTTG